ATTCCATGTTCCACCTCATCCCCCAGCCTACTCCCACACACACACTGCCTGCCACATAGTAGGTACTTACAAGCACATGTTGAATGTGGGTGAACAGCAGATGATGTGGCACCTAGAGGCTGCTGTAGACAAAGATCAGAAGTAGTTGTGGAGTGATATATTTAGAGACAAAGCATGTTTTAGCTGTAGTATGTGAAGTATTAAAATTACTTGTCTAGGTGGGGAGGAAAAAAAATATTTGTCTTAGGAGAAGAAACTAACTGGATACAGTACTTGGTGCTAGAAAAAGCGGACAAGTAAAATCTGGGGCATGTTTTGGAAGTGGAACGTGTCACCATATGAAATCCAATTTAAGGTCATTCCTTTGGCTGACTGTAAATCTCCCATTTGCCTTTTTAATCATCTTAGAGATTAATAAAACACTCTTTAGAGATACAGATTATGATGTTCAAGCACTGAAATAAGCATCTTTCTTTACAGACTCCTGAGAAGAGTTCCTGGAAATCTCCAAGCTCTTCCAAAGCTACACCAAGAAGATTCCCTCATACACCGCCAACTCCATTGTGCACCCCTGAGAGGATGCGAAAATCCCCTGCAGAAATGACCCCTGCCAAAAAGGTCATTTTTAAGGAGTCCTTAAAAGACTCCTCACACAGCTGGGATTCACCATCTCAACTAAAAGTCACTCCCCAGAGAGGACGCTCCCTGGCAGAAGGGGGCACCTCTCCTCTTGAAATGATACCGAGAACTCCCCAAAGGCCAGGCAGTCAGCCGCCTAGGCTTTTGCAGAACTCTACTTGGCCACGTTTGATGAATTCTAGTCCAGAAAGCACCTCCTGCCCAGCAGCCCTGGTTTCGTCAGCTTCCCAGACCAAGAGTGAGTGTTTGACTCCCGTCAGATACTCTCCTCAAACACCTCTGAGGGGAGCAGCCTCAGGGGTGCCAAGAGAAGCTGCCTTCGTGGGCACACCTCCAAACCAGAAAGGCCAGCTCCACTGTGGCCCCGGAGCTTCTCAGGCAGAGGAGCTGGCACAGAAGTGGAAGGATGCAGCTGTCAGAACCCCAGAGAGATCAGGGAACACAACTCTGACTTGTTCCCCACCGATTTCCACAGAGAATTCTGTTACCTCTCCTTTATGTGGTATTTCCAGGAAGAGTCCATTTGGGAAATTTTCTATAGAGTCTCCTTCCCCTGGAGAACTGGATTGGAAAGAGGCCCGGCAGTCATCCAGCGTAGCCACATCTCCCTCCTGTCCTGCTCCCTCAACTCCCCTCAAAGCCTCACAGATAGCTAAATCCGACCCCCGACCCCCTCCACCCCCTTCTAAAATTGGCAAAAGGCACAGAAAGACCACTAATCCTGAAAGAAGCTTCGTGGAGGGCCAGCCTAACAGCTCTGCTGCCTGGAGGGTTGCCGTAACCGACAACCCAGTTGCCATCACAGACACTAGAAAGAACCAGAAGGAAGTGACCCTCTCTCCTGAAAGACATAGTTACCCTGCGACTGGCTTCACAAGTGACTGGTGTACATCCCCTCCTCTGCTTATTGCAGGAGACTCGGAGTATCTTACTCTCTTGGATGAAGCTGAGCGCCATGGCAGTGATAACTTCAGTAGTAACACTTCACCAGTGGAAGAAGGTGAGGGGTCAGGGACATTGGCTGCAGATGAGAAGCCTTCTCTGTGCAACCCGGGGATTCCTCCCTCTTCTCCTTCCTCTGAGCCCTGCTCTCCCTGGACACCCTCCTATGACCTGCGCTGCACCGCAGACAGGAGGCAGCGCCAGGCTGCTGCACAACTGGAGAATCTGCAGGTGTCAACCTGGCTCTCTGAAGCCTCTGCTAGCCCACAGACCTACGAGGTTGAGCTGGAGATGCAAGCTTCAGGCCTTCCCAAGCTTCGAATTAAAAAGATAGACCCCAGCCCTCTGTCAGAAGCTGAGCCCCTGCAAAGGGAGGAGAGCTCTCTGGGAGAGGAGAGTTCCCTCCCTGGTCTCGGCATGCCCAGGGCCAGCAAGTCCTCAGGCAAACCCGAAGCTACCTACCTGTCACCTCCCTGCCTTTGCCCCTCACACAGCACCCCTGGCAAGAGCGGGGGACAGACCTACATCTGCCAGTCCTGTACCCCAACCCACTGCCCCTCTAGTACCCCCTCTCCATTTCAGACAGACGTTGGGGTTCCTTGGACACCGTCCCCCAAGCACAGCGGGAAGACAACTCCGGACACAATTAAAGACTGGCCCCGGAGGAAGAGGGCAGTGGACTGCAGCCTCGGTTCCTCTGCCGGGAGGAACGAGGTCAGCACAGAGCTTCCTGGGGCTGTGTCACTGCTGGAGCTGGAGGGAAAGGAGCGAGGCCTTGAACTCAGCATCACCAAGACTGCCATCCTGGGGGATTTTGAGCTCGAGGGAGTGTGTCAGCTGCCAGACCAGTCGCCTCCAAGGGACAGTGTGCCTAAGGCCGAGGAAGCCTTCTTCTGGGGACAGTCTGGTTTGGGATCCAGGAAGAGACTGCTTTCTGCCAAGGAGGAAGCTGAGTGTCAAGCCAAAAGAGTCTGTGACAAGCAGAGAGGAGACTCTGAAGTCAGTAGGAGTGAAGAGAGGTCCCCAGGCACGGGTGTGCGACAGCTCCCCTCTGTGGCAGACAACGAGGTGTTTGTTTCAGGTGAGTTAGCTGCCACATGGCTCTGTCCGTGGTACTGGGGAGGAGGCGGTGAGGAGATGCCTCTCAGGAAGGCTCGGGCTTCTGTCCTGCGGCTGTGGGGCTGTGCTGACTGTGCCGTCCCTTTAGGTGCCACCCCGCCTCCCGGCTGTGCCATGCGGAGCTGCCTCTCTGCCAGCGGCCTGCAGGCGCTGACCCACTCTCCGCTGCTGTTCCAGGGGAAAACGCCCTCTCAGTATAAAGACGCCAGAGGTAATTTGTTGAAGGTCCTGGAGGCTTTACCAGGATCAAACTTGAATCCTTTGGGTGACTCTCTAGTTAGCGCAGAGTTTTTCTTTTTAAGCAGTTGAATCTTGGAGTCGCAGGGACTGCCCGAGTGTGGGGCGGATGATTTTTATCCCTGCAGTGACATGTGCCCTTCCCAGAGAAACTCCATATTAGGGCTTCTGTGCATCTAAACAGAAACCTCCAAATCCTACCGAATTACTTCAGCTTCTTGAAGACAGTGACAGAAGCAGGCACACAACCACTTAGTGCTCGTCTGCGGCCCCTGGGAGCCGAGGGGGGAGAGCAACGCCAGTGGTAGGTGTGGAGCCAGCTGCTGCCCCTCGGGGGTTATACTCCCAAGTTTCTGTGTATTCAGGCTGAAAGGCCTGGCTGCTGTAATCAGTCTTCAGACTCTAGGATTCCCCTGGACCCCACCTGGAACAGAACGGTACTGAGCCTGTTAACTACACTGGTTAGAGAGGTTTCCTGCTGCTAGAAGGGAAGCGGGGGGAGTGCAGGAAGCAGGGCGTCTTCAGTGGTTCTCTTCCCTCAAGACCATGATATAAATCATGCAAAATAGCATAAACCTCACACATCTGAGACAAAAAAGAACGTGCCAACTATCAAACCGAAGTAAAAAAAAAAAAAAAACAAACCGAAGTGCCGCGGGTACTCTGCATCTGCAGTTACGTGTTGCTGTCAGTGTCAGGGTGGAGAACCTCATAAAAAGTAGAGGGAACGTTTCTGCGGGATGAGAACCTACAAGCAATGCTGGTTTTCTTAAGCATCTTCACATGTAACCCTATGCAGTTCAAGCCCGTTTTCTTCCTACATGCTGAGTCTTTCTGCCTTTTTCTAGATGAGGATGTGGATGTATTTCCTCCCACCACAGAAGACTCTCCTTTCAGCCGAGCATTCTCCAGGAGACGCCCCATCAGCAGAACTTATACACGGAAGAAGCTGATTAGCTAGTTAGGATGGAACTGGTTGGGGGACCTGTAACTACAAACACTACTGAGCTTGCCCAGAGCCACAAACAGTGCACTCCCCGACAGGAGAGGTTCTCTGAGAGCAGTCTTCTCTGGACGTATAAGGAGTTCCAGACGCATACCACAAGGGAATTCTTAGCAATGTACCCAGAAACTGGGTTCATCTGAGCCATGGCACCACTGGTCTGCTCATCATATGTAACTCAGCTTCCTGCACAGAAACAGGAATAACCAGGGCTTAATGGAACTGAGGAAATTTAAAGGATGAAGGTAAGGTCAGCCAGATCCCCAAGTGCACAAAGAAACTGGGGGCCTGGTTCCAAGCCTCCTTGACTGTGGTCAGCTTTCAGATTCCTACTAGAATGCCTTCAAGTTTTCAAATCCCCCTTGTGGGATCCATCCACCCCCAAGCCCAGCCCTAATCCACGATGCCTGCCCTGTGTCAGGGAGGTGGTACAGCTGGTGGCAGAACCCAGAGGCAGCCTGGGAGTCAGGAACCAAATAAGGAACTGAGACCAAGACCGCCTTCTAGCCCCACCCCAACCATGACTGTGGTAAGTCAGACCACACTGCTTCATTTGTGAGATGCAAGGACCGTTTCACAGGCCCCTCGCAGAGCTGCTGTAAGGCTGGAACCCCAAGACAGAGGCAGTGCTTGGAGATGGAAGCAGCTTACACAAAGTAGAAGACTGAGTCATGGGGGCAGAATAAATGTTTTGCATTCTCTATGTAACAATAAAATCATTTCTAGCTACTTAGCATTCAGGGTATTTCTGCATACTGTTCCAGCTTGAGGTTAACTACAACCCCGGTCCAGCTCCAGTGGTTTCTGGAGCAGTCACACCTCAGGGTCTGCCCTGGAAGCCAGCCAGTCCATGGCACTGTTCCCACCATTCACAGGGAGACTCACTTGAGTCTTGGACCCACCCAGAGCACCAGCTTGCTGTCGAGTTTGGCCAGGTGCCTGGCCAGCCATGGAGGCTGATTCAGAGCTGTCTCACTGTCTCTGAAAAGCTTTCAAGCTTGATGTGTCCCCTAATCTGAGTCCTACTCTGCTCTTGTAAATCAGACCCTGGAAACTCCCATTTCTCCCTCCAGAGATTACTGTCATTTATTACCAAATGGTTTTACAAAATCCTAAAACTGCTAAGCTTCCCAGCTCCCCCCATATACATAAGACCATTTAAACCACAACCCTGTTGCCACTGACTGTTCTGTGACAGGCCCTGGCTGAACCGCAGAATTAATGCATACACGTAGGCTTAAGACTGGAACCGTCCTGAAACTCAAGCCAAAAGGTGGCAGTCGGGTACCGCAGCTTAATGGAAGTGAGTGGTAGGAACCTGCATCTTTTTTAAGAAGTGATTTGAGTCCAGTTCTGAGCTGTGGCCCAAATTTGTTAACTCCAATTAGATCAGGACCTGATTTAGAGTTTGAGGTAAGGACACCTTCACGGAAGCAAGCGCAGGTGGCGCAGCTGTCAGCAGGCTCCAAGCTCTCTCCGAGGCCAGCTCTGCCCCAAGAGCCTAGAGGGGGTTTTTCCTGACGTCAATCATCCCTGGGCTGGTCCTTCGCAGGTCCCGCCGGGGCTTGGGCAAGGATCCGAGGTTCCAGGAGAGACCCACCTCACCCACAGGTAGCACTCGCCCCACCAGGGGCTCAGTGGCCTCCCGCTGCCGCAGCTCCTCCGCAGAGCCCTGCTCCTCGCTGCACAGGCTCGAGCGTTTCCATGTCAACGGCAACGGGGCGTGGACCAAGTCCCGCATCTCCTCCCGGGTGCGGGGGGTGCCCTCCATGAAGGGGGGCTGCCAAAGTGGCTCAGGTGCTGGGTGGGGCTCGTCTTCACTTACAGGGGCTGGTCTGTTCTCCAGGCACAGGGTCCTCTTCTCCCCACCTGTCACTGGGAACAACGACACCCTTGTCAGAAATGGAAGTGGCAGCACCTTCCTGAAGTCCTAGCCTCCCAAAGCCCCAGCATGATAATTAACCTGTGAAATGACCCAAGAGCTGAAATTAGAGTGGTTTCTAAGCTTTGCTCAAAACAGAGAACCTGACATCAAAGGAAGGCAGAACAAAGCATGGGCCAGCCTGGTGACGGCACACAATTACCCCTGCTCTGGCCTGCAGCATTCATGCCACTCAGCTTCTGTTTCAGTTCCTGGTTTATCCACATGTGGCGACCCAGCTCCTTCTCCAGAACTTGAATCCTGGCCTCATATTGCCTCTTGCTGTCTGCTAACCCTTCACCAAGGTGGTCTAGAGAGAGGAGAAAGGCAGAAAGAGGGTGGTGAGGGGCTGTGGGCAGGCGGGGCCCATGAGCGAGTCCGGCCGGCGGGGCCTCACCTCGACTCTGCTGGAGGAGGAGCTGGATGTTCTGCTCGTGCTCCTTCTGCTGCAGGGTCAGCTGGCGGTCCATCTCCAGGCGCTGCCGCTCCAAGGCCACCTCCAGCCAGTAGACCAGCCTCTGCTGCTCCTCCAGCTGCATCTCCAGCTCCGAGAAGGCAATCTGCTGCTGGTGCTGCTCCTCTCGGAGTGTCACCACCTGTCCCAAGACTCAGCCAGCTCAGCCCCCAGTGTTGGCTCCCTTCACCCAGGGAATCCTCAACCAGGGACAGTGGGTATTTGGCCAACTGCCACCACCACTGTCCCACTGCAGATGTCACTGAGAAATCACCAGGCTCTCCTGCTGAGCTAGGATTTGGCCTCAGACGCCTTCTCAACAGTGTTCTAGGCAGCGATTTCCAAATAATTAGAGTTGGCTCTCAAGACGAATCTTACTTGCCATCCCTGCCTCAAAACCCTTAATCACACACTAAGAAGCTTCAAGGCAGAGCCTCAAACTGGGATTTCAAGGCCAAGATGTCTCAACCTCAGCACTAGTGACGATTTGAGCCTAATACTTCTTGGTTGTCAGGGCCATCCTGTGTGTCGGATGTTTAGTGCATTGCTGGCCTCTACCCTAACTATTGCAACAACCGAAAGTATCCCCAGACATGGTCAAATGTCTGGGGCGGGGGCAAAATCATACCCCGTTGACAACCACTGTTTTGGGCGAGAGCCACCCTGAAGGTGGCAATCAGACCGGAAAGGGAGGTTGGAGGAAATCAGGTCTTAGTTTCAGTAGGTAAAATAGGCTTGAAAGAGGAGAGTCTGCGGCAGCCCGAAGACTAGAGTTGGTCCTGATTCTGTCCTCCCACCCGGGAAGAAATCAGTCATTCTCTGGAGCTGCCTCCCTCACACGAGTTCCAGAAGGAGGCAGAGGTTTGTGGACTGGTGACCCACCTTGTCGAAGTACTTGCAGAGAAGGGCTCTGGTCTCCGAGGACGAGAGATAGCTGAGCTTGGCCATGAGGTTCATCTCGCACTGGGACAGCAAGGAGGCCGAGGCCCGCAGCACCCGCTGGCGGCACGTGATGGCCTCATTCTTGTACTCGATGGCAGCATCCAGGGCCTCGATGGCCTCGTCCAGCTGGAACAGTGTCCTCTCCTCCTGAAGGGACACAGGGACGTGTGGAGGGGGAGTACTGGCCTCCTGCACATGGGATGCCTGCTCCCTGAAAGACAAGAGCCCTGGGCAGACTCACGATGGTCTCACGTAGCCACAACCAAGCCCTGTGTATCTCCTTGTCCTGAGCATGCAGTCAGCAGGTCAAGCTAGGCACCGCTGCCCCCGATGGCAGAACAGGGATGCTGCCATCACAGCCTGTACCCCGGGGTTGGGGGAGGCCGGGGCTTTCCTAAGAGGCTGCTCTGAAGTGCAAGGCCTCTGGAGTGACCTGCACTCAGGAAGCTCGGGACACTCTGCACTGAAGGGATGGGATCACAGAGATGGTGGGATCAGAGGCACACAGGGTCTGCTGGGGTAAGTTTCTCTTAACACAGGCCTTCTCTGCCATCAGGAAGGAAAACAGATGGCCACGAGGTGCGCTGATGTAGCCCCAACTCTCATCCCGTGCAGGGAGTTGAGAGGTGTGAGCACACAGTCAACATGATGCAGGACAAAGGAAGAGTCCAGAGTCCAGCTGGGCGGGACCGAGAGAGCGCTGAGGCCCAAATGTGTGCCAGACAGGTGGGCGGGAGGGCAGTCCCCATGCTCTTTGTGAGCTAGCACACAGGAGGAACGTACGTCCCAAAGCAGCAAGGCAGACAGCACAGCGGGGGCCAGGGGACCAAGGGAAGCGAGTGGATGGGTACGCACCTCAGGCGACAGCAGGCTGCCCTGCCTCAGTTTGCCGTCGATCTCCAGCCGCTGCTTCAGCAGCGAGTCCTTCTCCTGGCGTAGAGCGTCGATCTCCCCACGGATCTGCTGCTGGCTCTGGGCGCTGCCCTGCCGCAGCTGCCCGCTCTTCTCGGAGAGCTCCTTCTCCAGATGCTCCAGCCGGCTGGACACTCGTACAATGTCCTCATTGAGGGCCTGGGGGGGCCACCACCAGCAATTAGGGAAGGAGTAGGCCCCATCCTTAAGGGGGCCCAGTCTGGCCATTGGATGCTAAGGATGAGGTGGGTCCTTCCCTGGCGAATCCTGCAGGCCAGTGGAAAGGGGAGTCCTGACAAGGAGGGGATGACAGAGGCAAAGGCAGAGTTGGGTGGTGGAGGCCTGTCACAGAGATGACATGACTTGAGTTTGTGATGGGAATTATGGGGAATTAGTGGCCAAACCCCAAAGGTCCTTCCGGGAACCTGATGTGGGAGGAAGCAAGGGCTCTAGCGGCTGAGGGAAATACCCGATAATCCAGCAGCACCTGAACCCTCTTGGACTCCATGATGGCAGGAGTGGGTCTGAAACCCTGTGGGAATCCAGCCCAACCGAGCACCTGCTCCTGGAACAGGCTCCAGGCTTTGTGTGGGACACACCCTCTCTCTCTAATCCTCATAGCAACACTGTGATTCCATTTGACAGAGAAGGACACTGGCTCAGAAGCTTCCTACTTAAAGAGGGAGCAATGGAGTAGAGCTAGGGCAGGGGCGTCCAGGTTCGTCTGCCTCCAACGCCAGTGAAGGCTCTTTCTCTGGCCGTACCACCTGTCTATGCCTGCAGCGCCTTGTCCCACCTGCACAGTCCCAGAGCAGGAGGGTGATGAGGTGAAATGAATGGTGGGATAGGTACTTGGAGAAGTTCCTCTACCCATACGTCAAAATCTGCATCATAGACACCTTCAAACCCTAGAATTCTTGAGGGATCCATAGGCTATAGCCCAGTAGGACACAGCTTCACCTGTCTGGAACTTACCTGGAATGGCCACCACCTACAAGAACCTCACCTGTCTAGACCTCACCTGGCAGGGTTATTACACAGAGGGACCTCACCTGATGGAATCTCACCTGGCTGGATCTCACCTGGCAGAAAGTCAGCTGGCAGGCTCTCTCCTGGCTGGACCTCACCTGGCAGGGTCTCACCTGGCTGGACCGCAGGCGCTTGCTCTCCAGCCCCGTCTTCTCCTGCATCAGGGCCTCCTTCTTGGCCAGGATGGCCTCCCGCTTGTGAAGCTCCTCCCCGAGCTCCTCCAGCGCCCGTCGCTGCTGCAAGACCTTCTCCATCTCCTGGTCCAGCCACTTCTTCTGCTCTTCAATCTTCTGAGGGACAGTGCGGGAGATGGGGAGGGAACTCAGCTCTTGCCTCTGGCTGTGCGGGTAGTGTGGGTGGCCACCCGGGTCGGATAGGGAGAATGGTGTGCCCACCGGCTGACCCCCAGGGGACCCTAGCAACTGGCCAGGCTGCCCAGCCAGGCTGTGGGTGCTCCTGGGGGTGCAGGCTCAGCCCCAGCCCCACCTGCTGCTGCTCCAGGCTGACCACGGAGCCGTTGCTGCCGCTGCGCCGCTTCCTCTGAAACGCTGCAATCTCTTCTGTCTTGATTTTCAGGATCTTTTGCTGCTGCTCGTGCTTCAGCTCCAGCTCCTGGGGATACGCAGGGTGAGAAGCTCAGTGGGCAGGGCCGTGAGTGGTGCCAGCCTCTTCCCAGTGCCTGTGATCCCGGAAGCCTGCAGGAGTGCCTGCCCTGCTCCCGAGACAGCCCTGCACAGAGTCCCCCAGCCTAGCCACTGCCACTGCTCACTGGGGGCCAGAAAACAGAAGCAAATCTTTACAAGATGCCAGTCCCCTTGTATTATTCACTGAATTCTCACCCTAGCCTTGAGTTTCCTATAACTCTCCTCACTTTCAGGTGAAAAACAAACTCAAGGAGGCGCAGTGACCCCCTTAATAAGGTCAGGTGGCCGTGAGCACTGGGACCTGGCCATGCCCCCAGCTTGGCCTCCAGGGCCGGGACACAGGCACCGAACTCGGCCAAGCACCCGACCTTGACACGGTGCTGCCGCTTGTTCATCTCCATCTCCAGGCGCCGCTTCTGCTCTGTCTCCTCACGGAGCCGCCTCTGCAGCTGCCCCTGCTGCTGCCGCATGAGCTGCACGTTCCTCTCGAGCTCCTGCAGCCGCTTCTCGCTCTGGGCCGACAGCGACACCAGCCGCTCTGTTGCCTGCTTCTTCTCCTTCAGCACCTGGGACCATCACAGCCTCCGCTGGGCCACGCACAGGGGCTGCCACGAGCCTGGCACCACCTGCTGCTGCTCAGGGCTCAACAGGGACTCAATATGGGTGGGCAGGACGGAAGGATGACAAATAGGGACAGACAGAGGGGAAAACAGGTGGATCAAAAGACTACTAGTAGCTACCATGACATGGACTGTGGACCAGGCACTATACCAAGTGTTCTCTGTATGCAAAATAAACCCAGCAATCTTATGGAAATGTGTATTATTCCTACTTAACAGATTAGGAAACTGAGGCACAGAGAGCTTAGGAAACTTAACCAAGGTCACTCAGCTAGTAAATGGCAGAGCCAGGATTCAAACCCAAGCAGTCAGGCTCCAGGACCTGTGCTCTTTTTTTTTTTTTTTTTCCAGAACCTGTTTTCTTGACAGCTCCACTGTACTGTCTCTTGGACACCTGAACTGAGAAAGAAGGAATGAGTGATGGATGGACAGCTGCAAAGATATGTGGATGGAAGCGTGGATGGATGGACAGGATCACATAAAGGTAAAACACAGGATGGACCGGTAATGCAAGGATGATAGAAACGAACAGTAAGACAAATGGATAGACATGTAAATGGACCGTTAGTCACATCAACTGATAAAGGGATTAACGGATGGGTTAGACAGACACATGGACTGGTGGGTGGACAGAGGGATGATGGGATAGAGAGGGGAGTGAATGGAGCTAGAAGGGTAGACCCATGGGATGGAGGGAGGGGGGCTACATGATGGAGTTTAAAAAAAAAGGTGCCCTTTCTTTCGATGCCCACCCCTCACCCTCTCATTGGTCTCCTAGATTGTCTTCAGATAGGCCCCTTCCCCTGCCTCTGCTATGTTTAAAGCTGAGCCAACCTCCAGCACTGCCAACATCCATCTAATACCAGCCTCACCCTGGGAGACCAAGAGGGCTTTAGCACCGGCAGCCAGGGCTGGGGCATGAGGGCCTCGGCATCCACAGGTTCCACAGTGAGCTCGGGCTCCAGGACTCCCGTGTTTTGATCCCAGGACCCCAGCCTGGGAGGCTGCAACCACCGCCCCTGGGGTCCTGACACTGACCTGGACTTGGCTCTGTGCGGCAGCAACCCTCTTGCGGAACTCCTGGAGCTGGGAACGCTCGCCAGCATCCTGGGGCTCCTTGCCCTCAAGCTCCCGCAGCTGCCTCTGGCCCTCACTCAGCTCAGCCCGCACCCGCTCTGCCTCCTGCTCCAGCTCCTGGATGCGCTGGCTGTGCTGGCGGTTCAGGGCCTGGGCCGCCTTCCCTGGAAGAAAGGAGGGCCATGTCAGCACAGGCAGCCCCTCTGCCCACAGAGGATCATCGGTTCATCCCTCTGGGCAGCCTGGACACCTACGTGGATTCTACCATGCCTTTGTACCCCTGGGAGTTACTTAATATTTTTCTTTAAATTGATTCATTTTTAAAAATAGCCTTATCCACAGCCGTGGCCCAGAGAAATTACGAGTTAACTAGTTTTATTTTTACCTAATATATGCTAAAGTAAATATATACCTTGAGCTCATATACAACTAAGCCTCTAGAGCTAACTTCCATTTGCAGGAAATATGGAAGACAGAGGAGCAAGCTAAATGGCACCACAAGGAAGGTAACAGGCAAACCCAGAACATTCGAAGTTTGGAACATTTACAGGATGACTGTGAAGAGGTGAGAGAAGGGAGATTTCAGAGACCTAACGAGCAAGTACAATGTGTGGACAAGTCTGGAGCTGCACACAGACACTGCTGAAGAACTGCTTCTGCTCTGGGCACTGGGAGGCTATTTGTTTTTGAAGATGTGCTGATGGCATATTGGTTAAAAGTCCAAAAAGAGGCAAACTGAAAGGTATAGGGATGAAATGACATACTGTTTGGGATTTGCTTCAAAATATTTCAGCAAAGGCAAAAGGGAGGGATGAAACAAATGTGGGCAAAGCTTGGAAATGCTAAATCCAGTGATGGTTGTGTAGGGCCCCACTGCAGTTGTCTCTCCTTCCCTTTTGTCTGAAATTTTTCCCAAAGCATTTTGTAGTAAATAAATTCATAACTACTAAAATAAAAATGTTCAGCTGGTCACCACCAAAAATCGTCCCCTGCCTGTTCACCCATATCACCAGTAGTAGCTGTAGCATGATCTGAGGTTACTGTTTGCTCCCCAGAACTGGGAGGTTCTGTGCCTAGCACAGTGCCTGATACAGCAGAAAACTGATAAATAATAATAATGGGTAATGCTTCCTGAATGCTAGTCTAAGCACTCTACCTGAATTAACTAATTTCAACAACCTATAAAGCAGATACAATTACTATGTCCATTTTAGAGATGAGAAAACTAAAGCACAGAGGGGTTGTCCTACCTGTTCAAGGTTACACAGCTAGAAGAAGCTGGGCTGGTTACCAAACCTGAGCCATCTGGACCCTGCTCCTAACCACCCTCAGGTGGGAGGCCCACCCCAAAGCCCACCCCCTCACCTGTGCGGACCAGCTCGCCGATGAGCTCCTCCTTCATGCGGATGTTGATGGCCAGTTCACGGATCTTCTGCTGGGCCTGGGCCAGCCGCCATTCAGAGGCAGCAGGGGCCTGGCGGGGCCGAGCTGGGGCCTTGCTCTCACCAACCACTGTAATAGTACAACTGTCAAGGCCACAGCCCCAGGTGACAGTTGGGGAGACAGAGGAGGAGAGAGGAGGGGAGGGGCATGCACTGGCCAGAGGCAGCAGGGATGTGTGGACTATCCAAGGTGGCCAGTCCAGGACCATGAAGGGGAGAAGGGGTCAGAACCATCTATGCACCCCAGCCAGCTCACCTCTGGGCCCCAGGATGGCTGCACCCAGCTCCTCCAGGCAAAGCTCTGGGCCCTTCCTGTCGAGTAGACTGCCTGGGCGGGCCCCCATCCTCTGGCTCCACTTACTGATCCCGTTCCTGGAGGGCAGAAGGAGGAGTCCGTACCACTCCCCAGACCCTGCCCAGCTCAGCCACCTCCTGGGCCCAGGAGGGGAAGAGACACCACCAGGCCTTCCATCCCCCCAGGGTCACTATAACCCCAGGGTACCAGTCTGGCAGAACTCTGAGGCCAGCGGCTAAGCTCAGAGGACACAGGGCAGCTAGGGGCACCGAGGGCTCAGAACCAGGGGGCCTGGGCCCACCCTTCAGCACACCCATCCCAGCAACAACCCTTGGTTCAGAGCCCACAGTCCCTGCCCAAGGGCCAGCCATGGTGATGTAGGTGAGGGCACCCTGAGACCACAGTAGGATCCTCCTCCTTGAGCTGGTCGTTGTCAGGTGGGCAGCAGGTCCCACTCACCTGCGCAGGTGCAGAGTCCGTCGAGGCGGCTCCTCCTCCCCTTCTTCCTCCTCCTGCTCTTCCTCTGATGCAGCTGAAGAGCCACTTCCCAGCCTGTCTACTTCTGCCGGCAACTTGGCTCCAGCCTCCCTACCATTTGCCACCTGTGAGGGGAATGCCAGGGTTTCAGGCCAGGAAGCCTCCAGGGCATTCTCCATCAGCCATTTCCCATCATCAAGTCTTTGCTCCCACTTATGCCCTACATTGCATGACCTCCTCACATCCCTACCTCTTCACTCTCCCTTACCTTTAAGATCTAGTTCAAACGACACCTTTTCAGTCTCAAGTTGGAGCAGGAGCTTCCTCTTTCCTCCCTCCCCTTCTCTGCTCCCATAGCACCTGGCACTTCTCAGGAGACAATCTGCCCTTTCAATCTTGTGTACAGGTCATCAGCACCCAAGCCTTATTTCACCAACAATACCCCACCAGAGTGGAGCGGGCATAACAGACTTCTACAAACCCACATCCTCCCTTGCCTCAGTCCCTCAGGCCTTTAGAGCTCAGATGACCCAGAGCTTTCAGGCAGATGCAAGAACAGCCTTTGTCCAAAGGCCCCAAGTGAGAGAACTAGAAGCAGGACACCAGACTCAAGGAGAAGATTAGAGCTCATGGAAAAGTGAGCTTGCAAAGAAAGGCATCCAAAGACAGAGAAGGTGGCCTCAGAGGTGATGAGCTCCATATCTTTGGAGGTATGCAAGCTTTCCATTCAGTACTGGAAGCTAAGCAATCTCCAGCTACTCCAGAAATCTCAATGAAACCAGATCCTTCTGAGAGGCCCATTGAGTTACCCAAATTTTGGCGCTTCCTCTAGGGACACCAAAAAGGGGCTTCTCATGGCTGGTCCCATGTGAACATGGGATGAGGAACACACTCCCCAGCATCACCCTTCCCCTGCCCAAGCCCAGCAAACACCCAGCCTCACCATCTCCTCACCTCTCTCCAATTCTCAGAGCCAACTTCATCTCCAGAAAGGCAGGCAGGGGGCACGATGCCCAGCACATGGTTGTGGGTATCCCCCAGAGGGGCTGTGTGGGGCCGGGGCACATAGGACCCAGGAGGCAGGCCCTGCAGGACCCCTGGGGCCCCCAAGCCGGGCTGCACCAGCTCTAGTCGCAACCTCAGCTCTGCCATCTCCTCCTGCTGCTCACGAAGACGGTCACTCTGTAAGACACAGTCCAGGTGCTGATGAGGGATGCAGATGTGGGAGAGGTGAAGTAGAGGGATGCTGATAGGTAGAAGTGCAAGAAACTGAAGAACACATCTGAGGCCACCCTGCTCTCTCTGGGCAAAAATAGAGGAGGACCAAAAATACCTCTGACCACCTCATGGTGTCCCTCCTTCCCACACACTGTATGAGGTCAGGTTCAATCTCTCATTCATCCTGCCACATCCTACCTAACTCTCCCTCCACACCAATCCTCCACGTCCATGCCATTTACTGCCACCAGAGGGCGCCAAGAGCAACGCTGACCCAGTTACTTTGGGTAAGGTTAAGCACCCCCTAGAAAAAGGGAGCGCTCTGGAGTTTCACCCTGCTGTCCCTCGAGTCCTGCCTCCCGTCCATGCTCAAAACCAACCCCCACACCCACTTGCACCAACCTGTTCCTCATCTTCACACTTTTGCTCATGTTGTGCACCCCGTATCTCTACTCAATCTGTCAGAATCCGGCCCTGGCTAACTTCCGCTCATCCCAACAGGCTCAGCTTCTTAGTTTCAACTCCTAAAGGAAGTGCCCCTCCTCCCACTGTGGAAGCGGGGTGGCTTCACCTGCAGTTTGTATTGCTCCATGGCATCCTCCAGCGCAGCCAGAAAGTCTCGGTTCTCCTCTTCCAGTCGGGCCACCTGGCTTTGCAGGGCCAGCAGCTGCAGTGCCCCTTCGTCTTCCTATGGGGCAGGGAGAGCAGCTTCAGGGACAGAAGTTGGCAGGACAAGCCTGCCTGGCTCTGGGACACCTCCCTGCCCTGCCAGGGGCTCCTCTAGTCCTGCTTGCTACTCTGCTCCAAGCCCTGCCTGCACTGGGGGTTCCAGAACCCACCTGGCTTGCGGTCCCCTCTGCAAGCCATTGGGCCATCTTTTGTAATTATTAACCATATTTTCATTAGCAATTATTACATCACCACTATTATTAAGAACACCTTAGCTTTCACCAGCGTGCTGGGCACTTGTTACAACTTCAGCCCTTACAACATCCCCAGGAGGTAGATACTAATGTTATCCCTATCTTTAGATAGAGGCCCTGAGGCTCGGTGAGCTTAAGGAAAGTGATCAAGATAATCAGCATAAGAGCCTCTAAATTCTGAATGTGCTCTGCTAATGAGGCACAGCTGGCTGTGTGAAGATCTTTTTCCCCATCCCTCCCACTCCCGGCCTCTCCATCCCTGGCTCCCAGGAGCCATACCTGGCCCTTGGCCACCTTTTGCCCGCTGGGCCCCTGCGTGGCCTGCTCCTCCGCCGAGGC